ACCGGATCCCTTCCCACAGGGTGTCACACATCACCCTGTGGGGCTAGGGTTTCCCTTGCCTTGTCCACCATCCTCAGAAATGGTCCCTATTCCCTTTCCTCATACCTTGTTCAGCCCAAGAAAAAGCAAGCCCTGTATTGTTTACTATTAGCAGCTTGCATTTCCCAAGATGGGTTTCACACGATGAAGTGCCATCTGTTTGTTCTTCTTGATCAGCACAAGGAATACTGCGTGGGTGCGTGGGATGCAGACAGATGGCCTCTCGCCCGCCAGCAGAGCTAAGCCTTTTTTATCAGGCTTGTCATGAGGACATCTGAGTCCTACACTGCAAAGGCTTGTGCAAGTACCCCCATGTTAATGATAACTCATCCTCGTTAAAGACCCAGTGCACACAATGGGCTGGCTGGCTGCAACCTCCTCCTACCACTGCAGTTGCAAAAAGAAGGCAGAAATGGGATCACTGTGATTAGTGATTAGTTTTTTCAGGAGATGACAGGCAGCCAGTACGGGTCAGAGTAAGTTTCAGATATACTCTCAGTCACTCATGGTTGTTGCAAGCAGTGAAAGCTGGATCCAACAGACTTAAGCCTTGGAAAGACAGCTAACACACAGGTTTCCAGCACTAGGTAGGTATCGTATGGTCACCAGCAACCTCCGCTCTATGTGCCAGACGGGTTTTACACTCCTCATTGCTAACTCACATTTTCCGTGTTCATACTATGAGTAAGTTAAATCTTTCTGGGGAGCCTGTTAAAGGCAAATATTAAGCTGTGTCAGCCCACGTTGGAAGGAGAGGATCAGAAGGGTCAAAGAGACATCACCAATAAGCAGTAGGCTGAAAGGTATTTTTCATGCTTTGCAAACAGTAGCTAACTAATGTTATCTGCCAGAATACCAGTTTTCAGAAACAGAGGTGCAAGCTGAGAATGACCAGTAGAAATGAAACCATGGGAGCTCCTGATTACCATATCTCTGCTGGAACTACCATAACTTGCTTCTCGTGATTGTGGCTGGTACCCACACCTCTGTATTATTAGCCAGGTAGTTCATACTTGCTGGCAGGAGAATGGTTTTGTGTTGCGTTGCAGGAAAGACAGCAGAGGGGTCTTTAATTAAGGACTTAGATGATGGGAAAGAGATGAGACAACAAGAGTAGAAGCAATTTAGAGAGTTGTCTCAGGTTA